AACTGAACCTGGGACCTTGTGGTTGGAAAATCTGTATTCTGGCATTGAGATATGGAAGGAAATGTGTCTTTTTATCAGTAGACATGTTTCAGGGAGTATAGTTCTTCACCTTGCCTCAAGAGATTTTGGAGACACATCTGCCTTTCATCCCTTCAATTAGCTAATCTGGAGTACTGGAGAAATCCTATGACCAGTAGAGTCATTGGCTTGAGAATTTTGAGAATTGTAATCAAGATGCAACACCTCTGGACACTGCTAGGCTTTGTTTATTCAATTTGTATAGTTGCCCATCTCAAATCAGCAAGCCTACTTTAAATATCTGCTGCTCCCAAATATTAATCAAAGCAAGCGGCATCTAAACGGCCATATAAAATGTAAGAAACATTTTAAAATGGAGCTCAGAAACTTATGTCATATGCAGAGGAGGCATGTATGTTTTAATATTACCTACGTATTTGTAGGAACATAGTCTTTTGGATGTATATAAAATTCTGAAAAGCTCTATATGAACTTTATTTCATTATTTAGTAAGAAAGAAAAGCCAAACAAAATTTTACCCAATCTTTCAAAAGAAGGTTGGGGGAAAAAAACATGTACTATTTTTCTCTTCATGAGAATTCTTTTTCAAGAGTGACTCACTTTGAATATGCAAGTGTGAACAGTGTCAATATTAAGTATTAATAGAAATATATTTAAATAAATAAGAGCAGCTTTGTTCAAAGAATCTAATGGTTTTGTATAAACAGCTTTGCTATTAAATCAAGTTTCCAATGCAGGGAGGATATTTACCAGCCATCTCACTGTAGATTGCTGAAGAACACCAATGGTAATATCCAGGTTCCCGTTATTATACTGCATAAAGTAAAGCAGAGGTCCGTGGACCGGCACCAGTCCATGGCACACCAGAAACTGAGCCACGCAAACAAGTGAAACCCCACCTGCGGGAATGCAGGCAGCACACGAAACTATGTCCACTGGTCCACGGAAAAACCTCTCTCCTCGGGACCGGTCCCTGGTCCCCAAAAAGTTGGGGGCTACTGAAATAAAGCATCAACTCTGAATTCTTAAACACTGTCCTAAGTGTATAAACATAAAGCACTATTCTTGTAGTTCTCTTGAAATGACAAAGAAGTGTGGCCTTCATCTTTGTCAGAAAATGAAGCAGTTAGGGATTTTGCTTGAATTCTTGCATATAGTATGACTGTTAATTCTCTTTTGTGATTCCATGGGGTTCTTTACTTTATATACCCATAGGTTGAGATTGTAAGTCACAGAAATGGTAGTTGATCTGTTGCTTTATCAAAAATAAGGTGAAAGTCACAACAGTGCAATCCATGTATTATCTGCTAAAGATTCTACCTCACACATGCACTTCTTAAAGATTCTTTTTGCATTATTGTTGAAGTCTTCTGCAGCCAACAAGACCTCCAAACCTGAAGCAAAAACAATTTGGGTGTTGGAAGCCATATAGTTGTTGAATTAAAAAGCATGTAGAAGAAATATGCATGTGTCCTAAGTCTTTTCTAGGAAAAGATTTCACTTTTTCCATCCAATTTTATACCTATTACATGTCACAATTTACACTTAAGAATAGTTCAACCCATATTTACAGAAATCTTTAAATGAATTCTTAAGCATCTATAGAAATATGATGATGTATAGCATCATCATTAGATAAGATAGCAAACATCATTAACAGTAGAAGAGAATTTCATAAGATTCCAGGCATTCTAATCTGTGCTGAATGTTTTACCTGATAATCATAATAGCTGAGATGAGATTTGTTTATTTACAATGATAATTTTGCTTGAAATCCAAAAATAAAAAAATGGTAATAAGATAGACTAAAAGTACTGGTGTTGAACAGTATTTAATTTAAAAAAATCAAATAACCAAGTGAACATTCAAGTACATTTTTAATAATATTTTAAAAGGATGGCTTTCCAGCAAAACTGAGATTAGCTCACAAAAAACAGCTTCATACCACCAATTTAAAAGTCAGATTCTCAGCAGAGTGTATATCTTTTGACAGTGTACGAAATAGGTATTATTTTGATTCAGCATCTGTAAAGTACATTTATCTACCAGCATTTGTTGAACTATAATTTGTTGAATTACCAAACCTGGTCTGTAATAATCTGGAGACCATGAAATAGTACTGGTACTACAAATATACAGAAATCTGTAACTTTGTTGCCATCTAGTGGTTTTCCAACCTTTTGCAGTCCAGATCTGGTAGTTTTACTTTATATACAATGCCAAACTATAATCTACCATGGCTGGGTTCTTATTAAGCTAAAATCAAACAATTTGCATTTGGCTTCATAACGGAATCACTATGAACTCTGTCAATATTTCAAGCATAGCTCTTCTTTTCAAAGATTATTTAGCTGCATTTTCAAAAGAGTACAATAAAGACCTCTGATAGTACTTATATATGTCCTCAATGAAATAAATATCTGCAACATTAAGATTTGAAGAATCAGTTTATGTGAATTTATTCAGAAATGAATCCCACTGAACTAAATATATAGATGCAAATAAATGAAGCCCCATTTCAACTGGTCCAGTTCATTGCTGATAGAATGCTCAGGGAAATTTTGAATTGTAGATGCAATTCAATTATTATTTCAATTATCAATCGTTCCTGATTTGTTCAATTCATAAATGATGACCTTTTACCAAAATGCATAGTTTCTCTATCCAAATGATAGTCATATAAAACTTTGTCTGCCTATTCAGAATTTATCAGATTATGATTCTCTGATCTTGCCATGGGCAAGATGCAGAACTGATTTTCAGCATCTTCTCAGTGTTGAATTCCTTCTTTCAGAGGGATCACTTAGCACTTTCTCTCCCAGCATTGAAAAGGATTATTAAAATACTCTTATTTGAACATACTTTTGTTGTGGCCTGATTCCAAGATTTTTACGCTATTGATGATTAGTTGCTTTTAATACTGTATTTCCAAATGACCTGCTTGGTGTACATATATTAATAGTGCATTATCTTATAATATACTAATATTTAAAATATATTAACAAAGTATATGAAGGAAGGAAATTAAGGAAAGTATATTATCTAAGACAAGTGCCAACCACTGATTAAAAGAAAATTATTCTAAAAATACATTTTTTAAATATAACACCATGCATTTCTAAAACTAATTTACAGTGCAAAAATGACTAAGACCATATGTGCATGTTTGTATGTTTGTGTGTAATTTCTTAGGTTACCAACAACTTTCAAAGTCAGCTAAAACCATGGAGTTAAGATGGCTTTTACTCTCCAATCGGAAATTCTCCTCAGAAAGTATATTTCAAAAGTTAATCCAGCTGGCTGCATTTATTCATGCTAGCTCTTGAAATCATTTCCATGTTACATTTCAAAACATCCAAGATGAAATTAAAGCAAATAAATCCAAGTGGAAATGAGAAGCCATAGAGAAGCCGAAGGCACCTTTTAGAACATCTAAGCCCAACACAGAACAATTTAGATTCACCAGTTCACCACAAGCACCATACAGCTGCCACAATTATTTCCTGTTCTAATGATAAGATAAACTTGTGGTTTCTTTGCCAAGGCTATATTTCTTGCTGTGTGTCTGATATTGCTAGCTGGATGTCTCACTAGTTCCTTCAGCTTCTTTTTGGCCAAATGTTGATCTCCTCTTTTTAATGCAGGATCATTTATTCAAACTATTCGATGTTGATAACAATTGCATTGTGCTACCTTCTTTCTTTATGTGTGCATGTGAGATAACACACATGTTTTAAATTACATTGCCATCTTTCATTGCACTACAGTTAAGGCAAAATTTGCTAAGGCGGTGAAACCATTAGTTGAAGCCACTGAGAATATGCATTGTTTCCTTTAGGTAGAACACCATTGTGGGTGATTTGGCAGAAGATGTGATGTTCTCAGCACAACTTCTGTATAAAAACCATATGTCGTTTGATAAAACACAAATCTGTGCCTCACAGCCCTGATCTTGATCGTATCAGCATGCACTCACACTAGGGTAAAATAAATCTGGATTATGTGTATGCAATACACATTTCAAGGGTTGTGCATTTGGCCTTTTTAAAAAAAACTTTTTAGAAATGATACTTGCAGCTTTCGCGGAACTTGTACGCAATATTTCCATGCTATTTTTAACTAAAATGCCTTCTGTGGCCACTTGGACGTGTTAGATTGCAACATATGCAGTCCTGACATTGCTTGCTTTAAATTGCAGTCAGTTTATAAATGCTTTAAATTGCAGTTCTATGCTTATGCGGTATGCTCAGGCATATGTTATTCTAAGTCAAATAGGATTTAATCCAAAGCAAATTTAGAAAAGTTCTCAAAATATGCAGAGTTAATAAAATGATAATTTGCTAAACTGTATATTTTTTATTATTGCATTTTGATAGTTGTGAAACATTGTGCTCTACTTATCCATTTACCATAAATTTCTAAATGTCATAGCTTGTACTTACACCTTTAGTATTAAATAGTATACATAAAAGCTGAATTAGTGCTGTTTTTAATATTGTAACACGTCAATATTATGAACATATTTTATATCTATGTCTGTATCTGTCTACATCTATATCCATATTTCTATCTCTATTTATGTATATGATTGCATGAATTTAGCAGATGTAGAATTTAGAAGATATTATAATAAACCCACAAACTGGCAGGAATTGAAGCTATTTTGTTCCTTGCCAAAAAAAAACAGTAGAAGCAACTATAAATTGACAGTTGCTATTTTTGTTGTTGTTGTTTGGATATCTTTGAAGGTGGTTTAAGAAAGGAATATTGATTTATTAAGTGCTAAATAGTTTGATTCAGAACAAAATTCCACTGAGTAATTTCTTCATGAGTATATCTATAATTTAGGAAAACAGCACAATCATATCTAATGCTACATCTATTTTATCCATCAATCCATTTGCTACCCATCAGCAAAAAAAAAGGGGGAAATTGAATTAAAGAACAAAGAAAAATCTTACCATTTGAGATCTGTTCTTTGGACAGCCATTGATGTCTTCAATCTTCTCATTTGCTAAAAATGAAAAGAAAAACAATTTGAACAATACATGCACGCACACCTACACAGAAACCAAATCTGTTTTAAAGACATCTGGTGTAGTTATCCAAAGCACTTGTTGCAACTAAATCAAACAGCCTAGAGTTGTGATTGTCCAATCAAAACAAATGTGTTAAACACCAAGAGTCACCCGGCTGAATATTTTCTCCTGAACCATTCTTCCTGAGACAGCTGGGGACGGTCACTGCCATCTCAAAAAGAGACAACTGGGCTGGCAGTTTTTCTGAAAGTGATGGGCAGAGCTTAACAGCCTGATATTTCAGATCTGAAAGCAACATGCACCACTTCACTATTGGTTTTTTATTTAATAAATTGTGGATTTGTATAACATCCAAAAGAAAATTCTCATTTACTGTCTATGGTACTGAAGTTTCTAGATTTCCAAGATCTCTCCACCAAGCCACACATACAAAGTGCAATGCTCATTGCTATGTACTTTGCTATGTAATGCAATTTAATTGGATGGTACTCAGAATTCTGATTCAAAAGGAGCCCGTTTTCTCTAATCCAGCAGCTGTCTCAATTATTCTGAAGCATCAAATCAAGTTATTCTGATACTGCCTCTGCAGTAAAAAGGGACTAACTGAATGAAAGAATGAAAATAAAGTGTCATAAATAGACACTACCTATTAGATCCAAGATACAAACTACAATTTTCAGCAGATCTTGCTTGCATGGCCACTAATGAGGTACACGGGAAATGCAATACTGTAATGATCTTGAAGAAAGCCACAAATTCCATATACTGTATCATCCCTTAAAACTCAACTAAGGCATTGCAGATAGAAGAGCATTCATATAAAACAGAAGTTCACTGAAGACAGGATTCCTATCGATTTTATAGCCACATCCTTGGATAGGTGCAAACCCAGATTTAGTAAGGAAAGAATCCTAATACTCTGTATATTAGAAATCAAATGGATGGATGGATAGCTCCTGTAGGAGTTGGCAAACTTGGCTAAACAGGGTAACATAAAATAGAAATACCCATCCATCTATTGCAGGGGTGTCAAACTGCCGGCCCATGGGCCGGATGCATCACACAGAAACCGCACCCACCCCATTGCCGGCAATGGGGGAAAAGTCATGATATGTCGCGACATGTCACGTGACTTGCGAGTTTGACACCCCTGATCTATTGTATGTAGTCAGAGGGCTTGCTGGATTTAAGACATAGGTAATTGAGAGTGATGCCATTCAAACAAACACTGGCTGGTTCATTTGGAAGGCTTTTACAGGCCTCCTATGGCAAATCTAACAGCTCAGGCAATGGCCAAAATGGAATTTCCTCATAACATTGCTTCCACTCAATTCCTTCAGAATGTTTTGAAGATCACTGCCTAATCGATGCTATTCCTGTTGCTCTTGGAACACAGAGCAGCAGGGAGCACCATTGGCCAATCAGGGCTCCCACCAGCTGACCAATAGGAAAGTGAAAACATCATCATTTAGTCAGTGACTTGTCTCATGAGGTAGGAGTTCTAACTTTACACACACAAAAAAAAAATAATATCCCATCTTCCATGTTATCAGTACAGATTCTGTATATTTGGCTGTTGTTGTTTTTTTAAGTTCTAAACTGCTAAGAAAGAAGATCTGGCTATCAAGTTTTCATTTGTCCTGAATATAAATTGTCACAGCACTATCCAATAATAGCATGGCATCATTGTTTCCCAGCCAATACTTTTTCACAATGGTTACCAATCACGAGTGTTGGCTGCAGTATAGCATCTCCTTAAGTGTGGGAAGAAAGGAAGTGAATAATTAGAAGGTGTGAGGCAAGGAAAATCAAGTCAGGCAGTGCTGATTAACACAGTATAAACCACTAACTATTATTATGAACTATAATAAATTAGGTCAATACTAGAATCTATTTTCTAACCCAACTGAAATATAATTCTAAACATTTAAAAAACCCAAATTTAGGAAGTAGTACAAATCCATAAAGTAAATTATAATCTAAAAATGCCTTCCAGTTAAAATTGAACTAAACTATTTACTTTTCTTATATGAAGTTATTTTAGACATCAAAGCATAACCCCATAACATAATTAGCCATTTTTTCAAAGAAAGGATTGAACACCCTTTCAAAGTCAAGAGTGGTGCATGCTACTTATATAAGCAAGGAAAATCAAATCAATCAGGTTTTTTCCCCTTCAGGTCAATTCCTGCTGAATTTTACAAGCTGCCAAACAGAATTTGGCCAAATTGTAACTTATGGATGGGTTCCATGATGGAAAGTGTAATAAGCGAAAGAGAAATGCAGAATTGATCTGTGTAGCCTAGTAGTCTGTAGCAGGTCTTTTCATACTGATGAGAACCTGATGGGGCTCTGTGAAAATCAAGAGGGGGGAATTAAACGTTCTTTTCAACACAGCCAAATTTCTATCGCTAGAGTCGTGCTTCTTGATCTAAGAATTGTTTTTAATAGCAGTTCTGTAGTATGAAAATGTTTGAAAACCCCTGGTCTAGAGATAAAGGGAGCCCACTGAGCAATCTAAAAGGATGCATTCGGCAGTTCCACGTTTTCCATCATTGCAAGAATGCAAATGTTCTGGAAAGCTTATTTGAATCTTCCGCTAACAGTATCAACAGATCACTGGAGTCAGCCAAATGAAATGCCTTCTATGAAGAGGTACTTCTAATGGCACAAGATTAAAAATAAACATTGTAACTATATTATATAGCAGTGGCCCCCATCCTTTTGGGTACCAGGGATCGTGGAGGTGGTTCTTCCGTGGACGGGGTGTGTGGTTTTGTGCTCTGCCTGAATCCCACATGTGCATGAATGGGGCTTTGCTCACTTGCGCAGCCTGGTTCCCGGTGGACCACGGACCAGTGCTGGTCCATGGTCCAGGTTTGGGAAACCCTGTTATGTAAGCATAATTATACTCCTATATAACTGTATCTTAGACTTCCACTAATAAGTTTTAACACAGAATTTTGACACACTGCAGGTTATATCAATGCAAGTGATATAATACATCTGGAAAAAATACATCTATTGACCAAAATACAGCAAGTATTTTTAAAATAGTAGTTCCATACATTATCTGAAGATGAGCTTCTGCTTCCTCTTCTTCTATGTCAAAGGAGCAAATTGCATGGCTTAACTCCATGTGAAAGCAGAATGTGGAGTGCCATAGCATTTATTTCTTCTATAGGGGCAATTTCAAAACTGGAAGTCAGCCTTAATGTTCTTGGTGATACATTGCAAGACAACTAGTGTTTCCTTCATGCAAACACAAAGAACTAAGAGTCAAATGTACTGTATAGGGTAGAGCAAGAGAATGTCTGTTCCCCCCCCCCTGCATACTACAGTGAAGTATTCCTTAAATATCTTTGCTGGGCAGCTGCTGGTTTACCAACTTATATATAGAATTCAAAGTGACCAGCAAACCAAATTCCTTTCAGCAAACAAAGTTCAGAGGTTAGCAATATCTTATTGGTTCCTATGACAGAGGTCCTTTTGTAATAGGCACATGTCAGTAATAGCAGCATCCAGAAAAGTGTAAGCAACTACTCAGAAAAAGATGGCACTCAGGCAAATGATTGAAATTCATATTATACCTTTCTGTGGAGTATGGAGGAATTAAAGGCAAGAGTTCCAAAAAAGCAGAACACAGCATGAATAGTAAAGACACCGAGACAAGGCAGTCAACTCTGATGACATGCCATGAATCTGAACATGTAAATAACAATATGTCATAGATGTAAAAAAAAGGAAAAAAGGAAAAAAAAATGAGGCCAACAGTGTGGGTGCTGCAAAGTAAGATAAACGGCAGAGCTATCTATAAACCATGATTAATACTGCCCTGCTGGTTTCAATAAAGTTTGATAATAGCACATGCCAATGATTTGAGATGTGGTAGCAGCTGAAAGCTGCCTTTTAGGTATTCACCATTCAATAATAATAATAATTACACCAACAGATAGGGTTTCTTTCACCTCCCACCACTGTTTCCCCCCTTTTTTGCACATTCACTTAGCAGTGTACAAATCAATAAATCCATCTTCCCTTACATACACCCATTCACCAAAGTGCCTGTTCAATTATTTGCACAACTTGGTTGAGACATTTATAATTGCAATCTGATACAGCCATGCCATTGTTAAATTCTTTTGAGAGTAATTGTGGTTTTCATTTATAAACCTGATGAATACAACAGAAAATCCTGTTTCCCTGAAGTGGCCAACTATATTTCAATGGGAAGACTTCTAATATTGAGTTGAATCTTCTCACTGTCTCCTACTTTCACTGTTCAACAAAGTGATATTTTGAGCCATCCTTTCTATGATTCTAGAGACAATATTTAGCCATCTTGGCTTATAGCCATAATGGTTTCATTTTTCTTAAAAAATATCCTAGTCCTTTTCCAGTTAGTCTATTGTAGTGAAATCCATATTTCAATATGTGTTGAATGAATATTTCACTCTATATTCCTTCTTCCTCCATTCCACTGGCCTCACAGGTTTAAAAGAGGAAATAATATAACAGATCTTCCTAATATTTTTACTATACTATGTAAATTTCAGATATTTGTATTATGTTCCATACTTAGTCAGTATAAACAAATCAACTACAAATATTATAATCATTTTCATAACGAAGTAATTCTAGATCATTTTAGAAGCATTTTCCCGGATCTTTTAAAATTTTAAAATACTATGTCCTATTCATGCTAGCATAATGCAAATATTAAGATTAAAATAGACAGAATTATCAAGAAGACAAATTCAAACAATGTTTCCTAAAACAGATTTCTAATACACAATCTTTCTGTGATGTCTAATAATCCATTCCCTTTTTTCCAATCAGAATCTAGCATCTGATGATGACCTAGAAGTCTTTAAAAACTTAGCTTTCTCACAGATCATGGGTTATGGGGCTGCAGAAGCCCTATGAGTAGGGTTTATGGCACATAGTTTGCCAAAGCGCACAGTATATATATTTT